ACTGAAGGATTTTTTAAAAATTAAATTTCAGTTATATTTTTAGTTTAAAAATTTGGGGGGAATGTTCTTTTTAAAAGTGGCATCCTAATGTAATGGTTCCCTTGTATTGTCTGACCTTTTTGAGGATATTGATAAATGTTTCATAGTTTTCTTTGAGCACTGCCTTCATTTCTCCAAGTTCCTTTTTTCCACTTGCCTTTTTTGTGTCTTTGTCTTTCATGTCGTTCTTCAAACATCCTGTGGTCATTTGGTGTCTGCTCACATTTAAGTGGGTCTCCAAAAGCCCACTGTGAGATCCATGTGTGGTAGTAACCTTCACGGCGAGGTGATCAGATGTGGACCCAGGTGCTATCCTGGGAAACCCCCAAACATGAGTATCCATATGTATCTTCTCTTGAGCCTGCTTCCTCAGAGAGGAATCTTCTCATCTGCCAGGAGCTGGGGGCTGGGGTGGGTGGCCGCTAAGCCCAACAGCTAAGAATTCCAAGGATTCTCAGAGTCTCACTCACTGCTTAGTAGGCCCTGTGTTCATAAGGTGCCTAATTCCCATCTTCGGCTGTGGCTGGTGTCCCCAGGTCCACCACTTCTCTGGTTCACCCTTTCCTTACAGTAAACCCCCATCTTCTGTGGGGCTGAGGGAGTAATCTGTCAGCATGGGTCGAGAGGATCTGGAATCTAACGTCTCCTGTGAAAGGCTGTCAAACAATCCTTTCTTTCCAGCCATATGCCTGCCATCCGAGGTATCTGATGTTTCGAATTTTCAAACCTTTCTTGGGGGTTCACAGCACAAATCCTCAGAGACACTTGGCAAAGAAAAGAAAACAGAAACCTCATCCCTGTATCAGTCAGAATGGATCAGGCTTCAAACAACAAAGGCTGATTCCTCTCTCACACTGCATGTCCATAGGGTCAGCAGGGAGCCCTGCTCATCACGGTCACTTGGGATCCATGCTGATAGAGGCTCTGTGTCTTGTGACTCCACCATCTTAACCCAAGGCTTCAGGGGAAGAAGGCTATTCTCAGCCACTCCTGCCTAGAAGCAGAATAGCGCTTCATGGCTCCTATCTCGTTGTCCATGTCTAACTTCTAGGAGGTGAGGAAGGGCAGTATAGGCCTCTCTATGCTTGAAAGAAGAAACAACTGCAAATACTGTGGTGACCACAATTGGTGTTCCAAAATTTTGCTGTTCTCAGCTGCTGCTGCTTCCTGTCTTATGGTGCTTGTGACTTTACACAGTTTTATTATTTTACTGTCATCTTAGTGCAGCTTTAAGAGGGAGCAGACATAAACACCATTTCAAGCTGTACAACACGCCACTCAAAGCAGTCAACACCCTCCAATTTACACCGTGTGCTGCTACCATCCATCTCTCTGACCCTACTATGACTGTTCTCTACTCAGAATGACTCTGTTGCCTAAGGAACGACTGGTAGGCCATGGACGTTTTTAGAGCTGGTCATTCATTAACAATATTTTTCAAGAATGGGGCTGGGAGGCAGTTTTCAAACACATATCTGGAAAAGAGAAAGTCTTCACTAGAAGCAAAGCACTAATAAGTATTGTTTAAATTTGCAGAAAACAATTATTTTCCCCCAGCATGGAGCATCTAGTATGTGTTCATAAGTTCTTGCTAACGAGCAGTCCTATCTTCACATTCTGTAAAAGCCATCAGCCAACAAATGCCAGTTTGCTCGGAGTAAAGAGAAAAACACTGACGTTCCGAGAGAATTAAAAGTAGTGTTAAAAGTAGATTTAGCTATCAGCTGTTCCCTCTGGCAAGTGGTAGCACAGGTGTTTTTTCTTTGCTTCACTATAGTTTCTAAGCATGACAATTTGAGAATGCACAGCTTTTGTAGTAAGAATCGCAGCACTTCTCCAGGTATGCTCACCATAACCACAGGAGGACAGCCCCTTTTGTTAAAATCGTACCTGTGCTAATAAAAGAGTTATTGTAGTTACCGTATTTGCCGGCGTATAAGACGATTTTTTGGCCCTGAAAAATATGCCTCCAAGTGGGGGGTCGTCTTATACGCCAGGTACACTTCAGATAGACTGCCCATAGTGCTTGCCCCGTGCCATAGTGGCCTCCCGATGCCCGCCCACTTCATTCCACATACCGTTCAGGCATCAGCAGCGCTGCTGGGTGTATGCTCGGCTGTTATGCGATTTTACCACACTCGCAAAATCGCACACAGCCGACCATATAACAAACTCTGTATTTTGAGTGGAAATGTTAGGGGGTCGTCTTATACGCCGAGTCGTCTTATACGCCGGCAAATACGGTAAGTCTCAAATCCACAGATCTGACATGGGGAAACTGCCCAGGTGATACATTTTTTTTTTCCCTTTAAATCAGTGATTCTTAATCTTTCACATCCTTAAGAATTGCAGGGAGGGTTTACAAAACAAAACAAAGCAAAAATAACAAACATAAAAAACAAAACCCCAGATCACTGAACCCCACCTTAGGGGTCCTGATTTGAACAGGAAAGGCAGCAATTTTTATTTTTAACAAAGATCTCCGAGACAGGCTTCAGACCACACGCTGCTTTTAACAGTGCTTTTCCATTCCCCACAACAGCATACATGGAATGAGCATTCAGTAAATATTTTTTGATGCTGAGGTGGAAATCAACAAAATGTACATACTTACAGCTGAATTTCTGACAGTATGGGTTTCTAAAGCATTATCCAATACTCTATAATGAATTCTACCTCTGGAATGAAACATTGTGCAAGAGGGTTAGGCTGTTGTCCTCGTTCAAATGAATAAAAGCAAGTCCCCAGCCCTAGTGTAGGCTGTGCTGTGGGTTCATCGTGAGGCTGCAGGACCAGGTGGTTAAGCTGGTCATTTTAAGGAGCTGGTGCACGTGAGAAAGCTGAAGGAAGAGGCCAGCAGCAGGACTTAGTGCTCCTGCAGCTTTTTCTCTGGCTGACTTTCCAAGTTCCTAAAACAATGTAGAACCCAGCCTTTTGCCAGCTCCCTACTTTTGAAAACCTGCTCCATTTTTTTTTCACTTTATTTGCAAAATGCCCGCTGCATTCCCTCCCTCCTAGCCGGGAGGAACCTGGAAATAGCTAGAGGTCATGGGGAAGTCTACATGTGTGCCCATCTGTTTTGAACCATTTGGATGTGAAGTATGAAAATAGGAGAGAGGTACAGGGCATCGCAGAACCAGCTGACCCAATGCTGCCCCCTTGCTGGGGAGGTGCAGAATGTCTCCGGACCGGTTTCCAGTCTTTCCTTAAAGACATCAGCTATTTAATCAGCTAACAGCAAATGTTGACTGTTACTAAAAGAGAAGGTGAACAATACCTCTGTGACCTGCACAGCCCTTTCCCAACAGCTTCCAATAACGGTTTCTCGCTCCAAAAGATGTACTGAGAAACGGCCTAGCGCAATCATAAAATGCAGAATTAAATGAAATTGAGTTTAACCTTTTGATCCGTCTTTTACTCCAAGTTCCCATTTTAAATGAAACTGCTTAAATTTTTTTCAGGAGAATGGAAAAGTGAGAGTCGGGGCAGAAAGAGAATCTTTACAACCAGGTAATGGGGCAAAGGTTAGTCTTCTTGATTTATTTTGAATAGTTTGTGACACTCAAGTCCGCCATGTTGTCAAATTTCTTAGGTATTTCAAAAATGGCAAAAAAAATGTTGACAGGGACCACAACAGCTTTTTGTAACTCCTCGCAAAGCAGCACAATTCAGCACAAACCAAAAGCACGTCTTTTGTGATATGAGAAGGACGCCCTGGTACCACCAGAAGTGAAAATCAGGCACTTGCTAAAAGCCACAGTAAGGCTCAGGTGGCTGAACAAGTGCAGAAACTCCTGGCAGGAAAGGGCTCCGAAATATTTCCTCCAAAGGGGCCACACGGTCTGTCCCAAACCTGTCAGGGGTTGCTTTAAGGCAGTCGTTCTCAAGCTGTGGTCCTCAGACCAGCACTATTGGCATCATGTGGGAACTTGTTCCTGACAATGTTGAACTTCAGCTGAGCCCTGTGATCCTGAAAAAGAACAAAGGTTAAGCCCCCCCCCCCGCCCTTTTGTGTTCTGGAAACAGCTCACTGCAAAGAAGCCCCCTTCCCATGTGACTTAGATAAGACTCACAGGTGCCCCCTTGTTGACCTATGACAAGGCCAGACAGATTCCCATTCTTTTACCTGGCAAATGATTTGCTGAACTTCAGATTAATCAGGACAACATGCTTGTTACCCAGTCTTTGATTAAGCTTCTCTCCTTCCCCCAGCTCCTTGAACACTGGCTAGTCTATCACTGCTCTTCAACAGCCCCTGCTAATGACAGACTGGTCTCAAGTTAAAACAGTGTTTCGTCTTCAGTGCCTTCAAGCCACGCTTTCCTCCTCCTTTCTCACACCTGTCCTTTCTAGCCTTGTTCACGCCTCCTTATGAAAGAAACCCCTTTTTGCCTAACCCTAGAGATCCCTGCAGATCTTATAATTAGAGATTCTCCTGTTGCAATAGTCCTCCTCCCCCTAGTACAACAGTACCTTTCTCTCCTTTGCAATACGTCTTTCCAATAAAGTCTCCCCCTTATTCCAGCTGGACTTGTTCTTTATTTGAGATTAGAAAAAAAAATTCTCAGGCCCCCCCACTCCAGACCTTCTAAATGAGAAATGAGTGTGTGTGTGTGTGTGTGTGTGTGTGTGTGTGTGTGTGGTGAAAGGGGGCGAGGCGCGGGGCTGCGCCTAGAAATCCATTTCTGAACAAGCGCTCCAGGAACAGTTTGAGAGCCACCGATTCATAACAATCTCTCTAAGGTATGATAAGCGCATTCAACACTAACTCCCAGCCATGTGTGTTTCACTCGTGCTTAAGCGCAAGCTATTTTTGAGGCTTACGGTGAACATATTTTTTGCATCCCCACGGATATGTATCTCATAGAGTCATTTCCCAGCGACAAGGCCACACAGCACCCGTCTCCCGTCCTGGCCACGCACGGAACTGAGCAAGCCCAGACCCCAACAGACGTACTTACATCTCCATCCCCCGGCCTCTGGTCATCACAATCCCTGGTGGGGCTAATGTCCTGCCGCATGACCCAGATGGGCTCTTTCGGCTCGTCGGGGGTGTAAGGCGAACGGATGGTCCTGGTTTTCACCTCCTCGATGGCCTCCTTGATGTCCTTGATGGCCAGCGAGATGGCATCCCTCTTCTCCTTGCTGTAGCGCTGCACCGCCTCGCCGCCGCCCGCGGTGCCCGCCGCCCGCGGCTGCCCCGCCGGCGCCTGCAGCCCGGGGCTGCTGGGGCGGAGCCCGCCTGGCGTGGAGGGGCGCTCCAGGTCCTGCTCGGCCTCGGGCATGTCCTCAGCCGCCTTGTCGAGGCTCTGCGAGCTCATGCTCTGCTTGACCTCGGCCACGATCTGGTCGATGTCCTCCTCCTGCTCGTAGCTGTCCATGCGCGGGTAGGGCGCGAACTCGGCCTCCTTTTCGGGGCTGTCGGACTCGCCGTCGGAGCGCTCGTCGTAGTGGTGCAGCCGCGCGCCCAGGGCCTCCTGGCGGTAGGCGGCCGCCTCGTCGCGCTCCGGCCCGTACAGCCGCAGGCCGTCGCGCGCCTCCAGCTCGGGCGCGTCCCCGATCTCCTCGTACACGTGCTCCTGGAGGCCCCCGTAGTCGGCGTAGGGCTCGGCGTAGGGCTCGTCGTCGCCGCGGTGGAAGAGCCGGTGCGTGTACACGTAGCCCGAGTAGGCCGCGTTCATCGCCTCCTCGTGCTCCAGCGAGTGGAAGTGCAGGTGGTTGGGCAGCGCGCGGCGGTGCGCCGCCTCGGCGTGCTCGGCCTCCGCCTGCTCCGTGTACTCCTCGGCCTCGGGCCGGTACTGCACGGCGTAGGCGCCCTCGTCCTCGGGGTCCTGCGCGCGCTCCGCGTCGTAGCCGTCGCGGGCCGCGGCGATCACGTCGCCCTCGGCCGTGTCCGTGTGGTTGTGGAAGCCGCTCTCCGTGCTGGCGGAGCGCGCCAGGCACTCTCCGCGCTCCTCCTCCGCCTGCGGCCCGGGCTGGGCGCGGAGGTCCTCGACGGCGCGCCCGCGCGGGGCGCGGCCCGCATAGTCCTGCGGCGGCGGCTGCTGCTCCTCTTCCACCTCGGGGCGCTCCAGGTCGGCCTCCACCGACTCATTCACCTCCCCGCCTGGCGCCTCGTCGCTCACCTCCACCTCCGCGGCCCCCTCCAAGTGGTTCATGGTGGGTGTCGGGGACAGCTGGGGGAGAGGCTGGCCGGCTCACTGCGCTCTCATTTTGCTCCACCCGGCTGGAAAAACAAGAAGGGAGGAGGGGTGTTCAGTGGTTCAGGCGGCAGTCATGAGCTGAGCATCAAGATGGCCATTAAAACAGCTGCTATCGATCCTTTCTGGATCCGGGTCAATTAAAAAAAATGATTGCAAAGTGAAGCTCAGTCTGACAAGCGCATAGCTCATTTTCTTTGGAGTCCTTATTGTAATGTGTAATTACATCTGTACTTGTTTAATTGCTCACTGGCTGTCTCCCTTCCCCACCCCTCAGACTGACAGCCTCATTAGCATTTTGTTCTCCGCAGTGCTTACTACTCAGGTTCCATTTCTGCTGTGTATGAATACAGAGTACTACTAAATTGAATGGGCCAAATGACACACTTTCCATCTGCTAAGGGATAAATCTCTCTAAACTAGGATCCTAGATAACTTTAGAAACAATTCTGCAAAATAAATTTCAAGGGAAAGAAATCTTGAAATGTTTTGAAGCCCTTGCCGTCCATACAAATAAGCAGCCACTCTGAGGGAGGCTATCAACCACCAGTGGGCTCTCATCCTGTCATAACTGGCTGTTACCTTGGACAAGTGGCTTAATTTTCTGGACTTCTGCTGTGAGACTGGACTGATTTCCTACAGCAGGACGTTCACAGCTGTTACACAGGGAAATGAGACTCCATGGTCAAATAAATTTGGGAAATGCCGACTTTCAGTTGTCTTTTCATTGTGAATATTCAAGGGGAGGAAGATACAGGTTGAAGGGTTTCCCAAACTTGCTTGACTAGGAAACATTTTTTTCCCTAGAGGCCAGAGTTCTGACAAATACACTTGAAGAAACACTGACTAGCTCACTTCACCCATACACCTTGGATCTAAAATTCTATGAATTACCATTACAGCTGGAGCTAGATAACACGGCTAACTTCTTAAAGATATAGGTAGGTCTCTTTACCTATTTACAGAGGAACTTGTAGCTAGAGAGACAGACTTGGATTCTACTTCTCTCAATTCTTATCACAAAATAGCTTTATCGCATAATCTGAGTCCAGTGTATGGAATAAACCCAAAGGATGTAAAGAACAACAAGACAGACAGGCTCCCTCTGATTTTAAGACATCTGTGGCAAATGGGTTCAACAATATGTGTAAACTCTTCTGACAGTGTTCTTTTGGAGAGCCCATGTCACAAGTGGACAAATTGCACGGGAAGTGAACTTTTTAATGTAATAGCAAAAAGCTCCAGGGGCACCAGGGACATCTGATAGACTCCCTGATATTGGGATGCATTATATTCTACTCAACTTCCCGCCACAACCACAGCAATTTCCTTCAAGCGCTATGAAAATCCCAGTAACAAAGGAGGCCATTTTGTAGCTACTAAGTTCACTTTCAAGCAGAGTGACTTTACCCCCTGTTCTTTCATGGATACATCCCTGACTGACACATGGTAGAAGAAAACAATTATGGTTTCATAAAAATTAGCAATCCTCATTGCGTCCCTTCTTGACAAGAGTCCCACTTCATACACATTAGATCTAGTCTCCTTTGAAAAACTGTGGCCTCCTTTCATTAACTCCTGAGAACAGTAACTGTGGACTAGGTGTAAGAAAGCTTTCCTAAAGCAAGTGTGAGTCTCCATTCAGACTTTGACAAATGGTTACTGCTCTGAACAGAAGAGCATTGCTGCTGGGGCCCCCCTGGTTCAGTGGCCTCCACTGGATCATGGAAAATACAAAACAAATATTCAGTTCAATACAACACATGAGCAAGAACAGGCTACCCATGTTTCCCTTCTAAGGACTCCTGGAAAAGACAACAGATTGAAAACTACATTAATGTATAAATCTAAGTCTGATAAACACAAAACACTTGTTCACAGAGAGGGATACTAAGCACCCCGAACACTTCTCCATGTGCTATTGCCTGCATTGTGTCAGCTATATGCGGTCAGTGTTGGAAATACCATAACCACCACCCAAAACACCCGCAGGGCCAACAGTTTGTGGCACATAAACAACCGACCAAAACAGTGTCTTCAGTGAAAATAGAGTTTTCTATTTTATATGTATTAAAAACAAATTTTAGTTTCTTCTAGGTTAAAATCGTATTTGACCAGCAAATGGTGCCATGTCATAGCACATTTATTGATTGAAAGGAAATTGGGTTTCCATGCATGTATGAGTACATACACTAAATCATGCTAAGGAAAGTTACAAGAAGCCTGTTCTTTGGGGGAAAAAATACTATTACAATATTGTAGTTTGGTACAGTGGAGCTTTCTATTCACTGAGTGCATTCTCCTCACACTCCCGTCCCCAACCCTCAGGGGAGTTCTTATGCATGAAGTGTTTCTACTTCACTCAATGTCATGGTTTTAAGACTATAGTTTAGGTTGTGGTATTGGCAACATGTTAATTAATAACAGACATTGATTTGAGGGATTTCCCTAGGACAGAGGCAACGAGCAACTTTTAAAGATGGAGCTGACGCTGGTGGCCAGGTCCATAGGTAGCACATGAGAGAACTGTTCCCCATTCCCTGGCAACTTTGGGGGTGGTATTCATAGAAGAATATTAAGGCTATTTTTAATGAATTCCAGGTTATTGTGGGAGTATATATTGGTTCAACCTTTTTGAAAAGCAATCTGGCAAGATGAATTAAAATCTTCAAAATGTAACATGCCTTTGCGGCAGTCATTCTACTTATAGAAATCTCAAAGGAAAAATGCAGATGCGGGCAAAGATGTTTTTCATAGTATTTGCTTAAAAAGCAAAGATTATAGACACTAACTACTAAGTGCTAACATTTATGAAGTACCAGTAAGTACAGTCATATTGCGATCTAGGAAGACATGGGTTTTCTTGCTGGGTAGCTCCACCTGGCGTTGTTCCCACGGCACTCAAGCTCAACCTGCCAGAGCTGAACAAATCTCCTCACTCTCCCTCCCCACACTAGCTTCCAAACTTCCTGTATTTCCTGTATGGGTGAATGACACCCTCAGCCACCCAGTCGCCCAAGCCTCAAATCCAGGAGTCATTACTGACTTGTCTCTTTCTCTCACCTCCTTCCCCAAACTGACGACCGTCTTGCATCATCTTCATTGCCTTGGTCCATCTTGTCTACACAATTGCTTCCTTGACTAATTTCTCAGCCCCCTCTAGTCCATCCTCTCCACTGCTAGCCTGATAATCTTTCTAAAAAACAAATCTCAATCCCATAACCCTGTTTCTCAAACCCTTCAGTGGCCCCCCTCTAGTGCATAGTACAAATGATGAGCCAACTGTATATACTAGGCATTTTCTACATAATGACCCATTTCTATATAATGGCCCATTTAACCTTCACACTAGCCTATGAAAAAAAGTACTCTTCTATTCTCCTTACAGAGACTATTATCAGCTCATTTAAAAATGAGAAAATAGAGGCACAGTAAGGTTAGGTGATTACCCAGATCACACACCTGGTGGCGATAGAACTGGTAGAACTGGTGTCTGACCCCCACTTTCTAGCTCTAGGCTCTGGGTGTTGGAGTCCTACTCTTGGCAAACAAAGCCCTTGGGCCATGTCGCTCCTCCAGGCTCATCTCCACACTTCACCTGTAGAGTACCTTGTACTCTAACACCCCCGAGTCCTGACACTGGATCTAACTGCCTTCCCCATCCTCAGCATATTTGTTACCTAGAACTTTTCTTTGGTGAAGCTTTCTTGTCTTCCCCAGAACAAGTTCCTATCTGAGGAGTGTTGGCCTCCAGACAATGTTTCAGGCAACGGGGCAGAGCAGTGACCAAGCCAGCCAGGTTTCTCTGAGGAAGCCCCCAATGCTAGTGCGTGTGGAGGTGAGGGGAAAGGAGGGGAACAGACAATAATTTTTGGGGTGTCGGAAAAGCCATGACGTATTTTTCTGGTTTTCATTGCAAAAATGCGTCATGACTTTCCTGACAACCCAATATGTTAACCAACAAACAAGATCACCTCAGAGAGTGAAAAGGTTTATGAAGAAAATAAAACAGGGTAATGGCATAGAAAGTGACTGAGGAGAGGGCGTTATGTAGACAGTCGCCAAAGGAGGTGACATTGGAGCTGAGGCCTGAATGATAAAGAGGCAGCCAAGTAAAGATCTGAGGGCGGATCTTACCCTGAGGTGGGAAAGGACATGCTTCGTTCGAGTATAGAAATAATACTTGTGAAGTGAGGAAGAGATGGGGAGGTGGGATATGAGGACACAGAGACGGGAAGGGGCTGGCAGGACAGGGGCTGGTACATCAGGGTGGAGGGTTTGGATTTTATGTCAAGTGCCGTGGCATGCTACGGGGCGTTTTAAGCAGGGCAGCGATAAGGTCTGATTAACCCCTCCCTTTGCCCCTAATATACTTCATCTCGTATCTATCTATCTATCTATCTATCTATCTATCTATCTATCTATCTATCTATCTATCTATCATCTTATTATATATAGTTATTCTATATATAATATATTCTGAGTAACAATTCTTTCTGAGTAACAATTCTTTCTGAGTAACAATTCTTTAGAAATATGAAGTCCTTGGGAAGAGATCTGTCGTTTATCTTTGATTCCTCAGTGCCAAGCACAGAGGGGACATAGTAGGTAGTCAATAAACTTTTGGTAATTAAAAAGGAAAACAATTTTTCTCCCCTAATATCTGGGGCCTTATAGACATTGGCATGCTTAGCCTTTGGAGAAGAACTCATTTCTTCTTTCCATCTTGAACCTTTGCTGCCCTCATCCACCCATGCAACTTCATCCACCTTCTGATGCTAAAGTGCCCAAAGAACTCTAGTGATTCAACATTTTCCTAGGGGGCGGCCGGTTGGCTAGTTGGTTAAAGCACAGTGCCCATAACACCAAGGTTGCTGGCTGGATTCCCACATGGGCCAGTGAGCTGCGCCCTCCACAACTAGATTGAAAACAATGACTTGATTTGGAGCTGATGGGTCCTGGAAAAACAAAGTGTTCCCCAGTAAAGTTTAAAAAAAAATTTTTTCCCCTACATTTAAGTGTGTTG